TCATTCCAAGGGAAAGAAGGATTTCGTTGGGTAAGGAATTGTTTGAATAATAAGATGGTTTCTGTCATCCTGTTTTCTAACCGTTCTTTTAAAAAAAATTATTGCCTGTGTGTCTTGTAGATGTTAGTGTTAGGAAGGAAGTGCCTATGTGGTGTAGCAAGGAGATGATTTCATGTATGTCCTTTTGTTGGAGTCTAGTGATGTTTGGATCAGGCAGCACTGCAGAAAGCTGTAGTGAGCAAGAATCATATACCCTTTTTTTGGATGATCAAATCGTAAATTTAGAGATATCAACCTGTTATAGAGCTGCCTTCTAAAGATTATTTTCGTGTTGATTTTCTGTTGGATGAAAATGTTTTGTTATCCATGTAGTGGCCTGTTATGTTACTTCGACTCTTTATTTTGCTTGAAGTATCCAAATACATGGAAATGCCTTTTAAAAGATAAACGCATCCGTGTTAGATATATACCCGTACCAGACATCCTCTCTCGAGTTTGAGTAAAATAGCTGCACTGGCCATATATAAACCTGTCTTATGCTCCATGTTCCAAGCATCTTTCATTTGTTTATCATTGTAAAGCTGAAACTCTGATTCTTTTATGGCTTTTCTTCTTGCAGCTGAACAATGATGCTGTTAATGTCATCAACATATCCATAGGCTGCATTTTGGCAGTCTTAATGCAACAAATCCTCCAGAACTGGCAAATGTAAGTTCACCCGATTGTTGCTTCGGCAATCTCAGGTAACACGAAAGAATGCGAAAAGGGAGGCTATATAAAATGATGGGAAGAGAAAGCCTTCAATATCATGGAAGAGAGGGGGACAGAAACTGCAATTATGGGAATGATTTGGCTAACCTTGAAAGATTGTCAATGATGTGGAACATCACTACCATAACCAAATTGTATCAGAAAATATATCTTTTACAGTTTTGGTTTAGGGTATTCTAAGATGTTTTCCTTCCATCATTTCCATAACCAAAAGCATTGGATTTTCTTCTTTTTTTTATTACCAATGAAAATGATGATTAAAATCTTAATATTTTTTTAGGTGCTGATTGTTTACGTGTATATCATTGTTGACACGATATTATTTTCTTATATGTTATATTAGTAAATAATTTTAAAATTATAAAAATATTAAAAATTTAATTTATAATAAAATAATGTAATACGATACAAGTCATTTTGTCAATAAAATAATTTCATGTTAAAATAAAAATATATATAATTTTAAGGTAATATCTGTTTAAAGATAACTTTAAATCATTTGATATTAAACTGTTGTACATTTGGTAGTCAAGTGCTTATACTTTGGACCTCAAATAATAATAATAATTTTTTTATCATCGAGATCATTGGAGTTTGTGTAATATTAAACAAATAAATTTATTGTTATTAATTAATTGAAATATTAATAAATTGTTAACTAAAAATGTACGAATTAAAAAAGTAATGGTAAAAAAAATTTATAATTACATTTACATAATCAGTCGAGTTAAATTATATTTTATTCTTTTTTGTATATATTATGAACCCTAACCTAATTTAAAAAATCTCCCCCCATCGTCAGTTGCTCAATTTTTTCCCACGTCCCATAGCCGCCCCTTCCTATTTTCAAAAGCAAAGATCCTCCAACTACGTTAGCTTGTCTTCTCCTACATTCGTTCCCGGGCCAAGTAACACTGCAGTTTATTTCTTCTTTTTTTCGTTTAAGGGTTCTGATTCCCAATGTTGCTTCTTGTCTTCTGTTTTTAAAATTTGTGTTTCTACTGGTTTGTGTATTTTGACTAAAAAGATGTGATTTTCAATGGGTAAGTTTTAGTTTCTAGAGAAGGTATGGCTGTTCCAAGAGAAGATACTTAAGGACGTTTGATTTGGTTATTGAAAAAAGGCCTTTTATTTTTATCATTTTGTCATGTTAATGCATTAATTATTTATGGAAAAGACAATTGATTCCAGCTTGAATATGAATACGTTTAATTGAGTTTAAGTTCAAGTTTGAATACAAAAATTGATATACTAGTTTCATCAAGTTCGATTTTGCAAGCTTAGAAATTGATGTTCGATCAAGTTCGAGCTTACCACTATTCGGACTAGGCTCAACTGGATTGCAACTTCAGTTATGTAATACCAATTGTGAAGATCCAGAGGAAGAAGATTGATTTTTTTTTTATAGTTGGTAGAATTAAGTAATATGGTGTTGTTTGAGATTGTTATGCTTAAGTTGTTTGGTATGTTCAAGTTTTCTTTTTGGTATTTTTAAGTTGTTTGGTTTGTTTAAGTTCTTTTTGTTCCTTTTTCGATCAAAAGGAGTAGATTGACAATGGGATTACCAAATGCGAGTGGGGACTTTTCGACCGAAGTAGAGGTAGATGCTTTCAGACGCCTCTTTCCTCTTCGTTTCTTTGAGAAACATCTTTAGAATCTATACGACCTGATGCTCGACCACTCGAGAGAGCCAGAGATACTACCATTGCCCTTGGTTAGTAAAGGAAAAAAGGAAACAGCTATGAAACTTTTCTGTGACATAATTTTCTTTTCATGCCTGAGCTGATTCCTCTAATATCGAGTGGCTGTTGCATCTGCTAATGGTTCAGCACTTGCAAAAATTGGTTCAACTGTAAGTTTATCACTTTCTCTAATACATGCTGCTTTACGATGCCAAGCAATTAAGCCTAGAGTTGATAATTTGTTTCTTGTGTTGCATAGACGATGTTGGCTGGTATCAAATTGGAAGTCATGACCCCTTCGTTGGAAACACCTGATGAGGGTTGTATAGGTTGGCTGCCATAAGTTTCATTCTTTACTATCTCTCTTTCTTTTCTCAAAACCTATCTTTTATCTTCCATTTTTTTTTTGTAATTTCTTTCTCATTTTCAGCAATTGATTTCCACATGCCTCCAATTTGTTCTCCAATTGTTAGGCCTGGCAGACCGGCTGAGGCAGCACCAGTTGTGGCAAAGCAATTATCTGACACTATTCTAAGGCATACCAATTTGTTTTTTCTTTGTGTGGATTCAATTCTTATCTTCATCTTCACCACCATGTTTACTCATGATTACTGGTGTGGTTAACTGGGTATTTGAGTCTTGAATATTGAAACTTTGAGTTTGCCTTTCTGTTTCTTTCTACCCGCTTAAGCACACTGCTCAGTTATTTTATCTTAATTTGTTGGTGGTTTTGTTTCCTCTGATGCTCTTCACACTTATAATATGTTCTGTTTGAAAACTGTTCCACTTTGATTCATTTTTCTTGATAATTATTTTCTCAAACATCTTGTCACATGTGTAACTACAACTCTGGCATGATTAATTTGAAGGAACTGTCCTTGGTTAGTGGAAAAGCTGCTTGGATGGCCTATTTGGTAGGTGATTGTGGTTTTAAAATGTCTTAACAATCTGTATAAGAGTTTGAACACAAGCCATTTAGTGTTCAAGCAAGATAATATGGAAACTCAAGTAGTGTCATAGTGCCTTTCGTATCCTTGAATATGGAATTAACATAGTATTCTCTCTTTTTTTACAGGACATTTACTGTTTGAATGCTGACGGTGCTCTTTTTGATGCTGCATTACTTGCAGCTGTTGCTGCATTTTCTTATTGTAAGCGTTTCACCCGTGCTTCTAAATATAATAATACTTACCTTTTCCATGAAATCAAAAATGGGAAGTGGAAAATTGCAATGGTGAAATCCTTAATTCTTTTTAAGAGAAATTTTATGCACCGCCTATGGAATTCTTTTTAAGATAGGATGTGAGGTCAACTACATGTTATGCGTGTAATTTGTTTTCTAATATGTCATAGTTGAGTAAGAGCTTAAATATTTCACACATTTTAATCTTGTCTACCTTGCTTTTTCATGCATAGCCTGTATATATATTATCAGGTCTTGCTATTCCGTTGCAGCTTTAATGTTGACTAATAGATTTGTTTTCGAGTGACTAATATTTAGCGTCTTTTTTTATGCCATAACTTCTCTAGTTACTACATGCAAATTTTGGCTTGTGTTGGATGGTGATATACTCTGGATTCAGGATTCAAGTTCAGCACTGGTCCTTACGCCTTATAAGTAATTTTTTTTAATTGTCTTAATTTATGAAAATTTTCTTACAGTGGAAATCCGGTAGTATCTCTCAACGATGATGGAAAAATAGTTTTATCGGAGGAACAAGGACTATCTGACAGGGAGCCAGTCAATAAGGAGAAAAGTGAACCTGGGCATCATTCCGTTTTTACTGACATGTATACGTCACAAGAATTACATTTTGGCAGATCCTACTGCCGAGGAAGAGTCTATTATGGAGACGTCTGTAACTGTGGTTTTAGATTCATCTAGTTAACTTGTTTCGCTTTATAAACCAGGTGGACCAGTTCTAGCATATACATCAGCTATCCAGGTCAGTTGAAATTTTAAAGTCTTTGTGACAATAAAATGTTCTAATTAAATGTAGAATCTTTGCCGACGCTTTAGCAGCGTAATACAGTTAAGTTTTTTGGTTTTATCAAGTGATGTTTTTCACCTTTAACTTTAGTAGCTGCCTTGGACTCCGATATTTGATCTGAAGGTCATTTCCTTGGATGTAGGTTGTCATGCTTTAGACTTCCGAGGAAATCGCATGATAATAGTAGGAAGATTTACTTTTTTGGTGTTCTGAAGCATTTTCTGTATGATTTGTTTCGATACAGACTCATATTAAGGTATAATGAGCTAAAACTGGGCGAAAAGCTGATACGAAAAATGGCTTCCATGGTTTCAGGACTGCATTGCATTAACACGGCAAAGAGTGAAGGAGCTTCAAAAGATTCTAGATGAAGCCATTTCTAGTATGGAGGTTGATTAATCTTGCTGTTAATTATTTTGAGTGGTTTATCAGCCAGGTTTTGTAAATAATGTTCGTAATTCTCTTTTTAAATTTAAATTATTATCGTTCATTCCGTCGCATTTGCGCATTTTTTTAATGACGTTATTAGTTCAGGGACTGGTTTTTCGAGGGTGTAATGGGATCAATTCTGGTATGCCAAAAGTGTCAAATGTTAAGCTTTCCATGTGCCAGCAACAGATCTTCACTAGTGGATACTCCTGTGCCAACAACAGATGACAAAGAAAATCCTTCCCCTGGTATAAGCCAAATGGATACTATTCAATCAGCATTGAATCAAGTAGACTCGGCCACCCAATGAGCTGATCAAGTAAATCGAGCTCCAATGAGGCAATGAGTGAAGACGTTGCCAGTGCATGGAGATGAAATCTTCATTCAAGCAAATACTAATCAATGGTTACTCAGCTTAGAATAGGGTACAACACTGATCTAATATATATCTTTATGCTTGATGGTTGAATATATGAGCATTTTCGGCTTGATGCTTGAAACTGGACCATCTGACGTGCCTTTTTTTCTGTTACTTTTTTATCTTCTCTGTGCATTTAACCGTATAATTTCACTAGTTTAGTTGAGAGTTTCTTTTAGATAGAAATCATTAGTCTTTGTACAATTGAGTTTGATATTAATACAGTCTAGATTCAAGTGTTCCCCTATGAGGATAAAATTGACAACACTGAATTCTCAATTTTCTTCTCTATGAAAGAGGCATTGGAAGCAGGTTATTTGGTCAATCAGTTGCATCAATTTCCAAAGGACCAATGGCTTGGAATGTGGAACCGGCTCAAAAATGTTTCCATCATTTCCAGTTCCAGACAGTACTTCCCTCCAAAGAAGGAAGATGCCGGTAATATGTTACGAAGACAGGTAAAACACAATCTTCCAACTTGCTGTACACAGAAATAGTCAAGTAGAAGAAGGTTGAGAGTTCCTGATTGGTGGCAATCGAGGAGATGATAACACAACCTTGTTCTACACTGTACAGTGTACGTACATCATATTTTTCTCATTCATGACGACATCTGATGGCGAGTAACGAGCAAAGGTGCTTGGAAATCACAAGCCAACACGTCATGGGGAAGCTTTATCCAGCTTGTGACTTACGATGCGTAGTTTCGAACTTTATTTTCTCTCTAAAGAGACAGTCAGTTAAGATTTGTTCTCGGTTAATATTGTTTTCCATCATTTGATTGTGCTGATGTGGGTTTAAAGTTTAGGGTTTAGATTTTAGTGTTCAGGGTTTAAGGTTCAAGTTCTAATCTTTGAATTCAAATCTTGTATAAGTGCACTCAAAATGATCAAGCTAATTCATGTATCAGAACACAGAAACTTCATTTGATTCTGTCTCCTACCATTGAATAAACCTTTTTTGTTCGACCTTTTTTTTTATGAATATAAATTTTATTGCCAAAAAATCAATCAATTTGTACAAACAGAGAATAAATACACCTATACATTTAAACCCCACACTCCGCGACTGACTATCTAATCGACTCACTTTATAGGCTTTTATACCAGTAACCTTCACACGAACCATCTCCATTAAACGATCTACCAATGCTTCCTCCGAACACGGCTTCCCCTGAAATCAACGTAATGACACAGTTCCAAGCAAAGCGAAAAATATAAGCCAAAACATAGATTTTCCCCTGGCATTGCAACAAGCCTAACCGAGCTCATGCATCCAATCCATGACCTGCCTCGTCACATTAAAAGCCGATAAGATACTCATTCAAACCCTCTTAATTAGCAACAATCAAAGAACATTTGGTCCCTAGATTCAATCTCATTTAAACACAGGACACATATACCATCAACGTAATGACTGGGGAGTACTTAAATCTGTTTTTCAACATGGCATGCCAGAGAGTAGGATTGTAATTACTACTTGTGAACACAAATTTGCAGTAGAAACGAAATCAACTTATATATTTCATCTGAAAGAGTTGCCTGGAGAATTGTGTTGGATGATACTTTGTGAAGTTGCCTTGAATGGACTGAATGAAGATAGTCATGAATGTGTAGAAGATATAGGATTGGAAATTGCGAAGAAATGCAAAGGATCACCATTTGCTGCAAAGGTTTTGGGCGGTGTCTTGCAGCATAAAATTGAAAAAAGAGAGTGGAACAGTGTTCTGGAAAACTATATATGGGAATCTCCTATGATACCCAAGTATATTTTTAAAATACTATGGCTATCTTATTGTGATCTACCTTGGTCAATAAGGCAATGCTTACTGTATTGTGTTATCTTTCCCAAAAACTTTGAAATGTCGAGAACTCTTTTAGTCCAACACTGGATGGCACACGGTTATCTAAACTCATCCGATGATTCAGAAATGGAGCTAAAAGGTGAAGCGTACTTTAAATGCTTAGTAGCTCATTCATTTTTACAAGATTTTTGCAGGAATGGTGGTATCCATACATGGAAGATGCATAATATCGTACACGACTTTCTTCGGTTTCTGTTCCAATATGAACTAATGATGGAGATCCGATCTGTTGAACATATGATGTTGGACTTAACTTCTGCTAGGACGTCTAAGGAGGTCAAATCTATAAAACGTGTGATTCCAGCTCCAGCTCCAAAGCAGATGAAAACTCTTTCTGATTCTGGAACTTCAATTCTAGCTTCATATTGTGATCCGCCATTGATTCTAGATTCATCTTGTCCTCCTCTGCCGTCAGATTTTCCTCTTATTAGCATTCGTCATTTGATGGTGATGATAGCCCAGGGAGTTGGTTTCCCTGTGGACATTAGCGGTGCAGAGAAATTGCGGACTCTTGTTGCTGTTAGTCAAGGGTGTTTGATAACCAGTAGAGCATTATCTAACTTATGTAAACAATCCAAACATCTCAGGTTATTGGATTTGAGCTTGTCTAGCGGATGGCATAATTGTTTTGGACCATGTGGACAAGGTAATGTACTTCGTAAATTTCCCGAGGAAATTTATGAATTAATAAATCTGAAGTTCCTTAGCTTAGCTGGCAGCAAAGAATTGAAGATACTACCAGAAACATTGTGTGACTTATATGATTTGCAATCTTTGGATCTAACTGGATGTAGTAGTCTTACGAAGTTACCGGACGGAATCGGGAAATTGATGAGATTGAGGTATCTTTATACCTGGTATTGCTGTAGTATAACTTTCTATCCAAAAGGGATTGGCTGCTTAACTTCTCTGAGAGAATTAACCAATGTCATTGTTAGAGTTGATCAGAATGATGCAAAGGAATTCAGTCTCGGAGATTTTGAAGAGTTGAACCACCTTTGTGGAGATGTTCGTGTGAAACTGGTAGGAAATGCGATCGATGCAGATGAGGCTATCAGAGCCAACCTTTCGAACAAGAAAAGTCTCAGCAATGTTAGAATAAATTTGGATGGAGATATAAAGGAAGATGATGTAATCAAAGCATTAAAGCCACCTTCGGAGTTGAAGATAGAGTTCATAGGCGGGTGGTTCTAGTTCAGAAAAGAAAGGATGGTACAAGGTAACAGGTAATATCTCGACATCATTCTCTCTTTTGTTGTTTCTTTACCATTTTAATCAACCCCTTTCTTTTTCCTGTGTTGGAGTTGCAGTTCAGTAATTTTCATTTGGAGAATGATGCAGTTGTTATTGTGAAACTCCTAACAGACAGAGGATCCACATTATCCAGTCTTGGGAACATGATTGATAAATTAGCCTTTTGTGTCAAAACTTTCAGTGTGTTTTCTTATGTTCTTCGTTCGGGCAATGAACCCTACTCATTACTTTGCACCTTTTACATTGTGGCTGGATAATACTTCTTATGATGCACTCTTTTTCCATTTTCTCTCAGCAGAAGTGGTACTCTAACGACACACCTTTTTATATAAAAAAATTAGTAATCAGTACTGCTTAGATAAGATGTTAGAGTAGGACATGTTTCTGCTATCATCATCTAATTAGATGAGATGTTATAAAAGCTCAGTGGCTGACGCATGCTCACTTCAACGAGCCAAGTTATCTTGATCTTATTATTTCTTAGTGTTGTTTTCATTCACTCTAGGTGTTGTCGTTGGTGTTTTTAGATGCAAGGAAGATGTTTGGTTTTTGATAATTGGCATTTGCTTCATTGCTTGTAGTGTTTTATATTTTCTTCTTTGTGCGTTTAGAAATTATAATTTTTGAACCCAAAACGATCTTGGAGTGTTTTCTCCCTAGAGATTACGGTTTCGAGCAACATCTGTGTTCATTGTCCATGGTTAATAAAGATTGTCGTAAAATTAAAAAAAAAAAGAATTTTAGCTCGTTCTTAAAATTTCACGAAAGTAAAGATCTTCAAATTCAAACGACGATAGGCTTCCCCCAATCGCTTCTCTCAGTATAAAGCATAATTTGCCTTGGTAATTAAGCTAAATCAACAAAAGAAAATCGAATTCAATCCAAACTCCACCTTACCTCTCACTTAAAACTCTGGCCTTTAAAACAACTATAAGCAAAAAGGGAAAAAAATCCAGGGGATATTAAAGTACCTGGAAAATGTCACATTTAGGCATGTGAGAAGAAGAAGAGATGGGAACACGCTGATGTTTGCTGGCCAACTTGTTCGCGGCGTGGACTTTCTCGTCGCACTCTAAACACAGCGCCGCCTCGTCGGAGCAGCACAGCACCTCCGCCACCTCGCACACGTTGCACTGTATCCTTATATCTCTATTTTTCTCTTCGTCTAATAAATTCCAAAATTTTCCAGAATTTATATTTCTTATTTGAAGAAATGGAGGGGTCTATTTCTGGTTTAAGGAAGCAGGAAAGCAAAGCCAGCTGAATCTGATTCTCTTAATTAATTAATTAATTATAATAAAACTCCAGATTTTATTTTAAGCTATGATTTGAGAATTGCCCACGTGGTAGATTCCAGATTCTATCTTTGACTCGGGAGACCAGACCGCTCTCAGCCTCGTCGGTTCCGACCGGTAAACAATATTTACTCTAGGCTTCATTTTAACTATTTTTTGTTTGGTAAACTATACGAAAATTCCCTTTGTTTATAGTTTGATGGATTTTGGTCACCAATTTAAAATTAAGGCTACATGGTCCCTAAAGTTATTGATCCATTCGATTTTAGTCTCTAACGTTACCGATCTATTTGATTTTAATTCCTCGGCCGTTAACTCCCGTTCGATTTTAGTCCCTCAGGTATGTCACATATTTGTTAAGGGTTAACAACAAAGGGACTAAAACCAGACAGACTGATAATGTTAGGGACTATTTATCTTTTATTTTTAAATTGGTTACCAAAGTCGGACAGATCCTAAACAAAATGGACTATTTGCATAGTTTACCCCTTTTTTTAACCACCATTATCGAATCGGTTAATGAAACTATTCAGATCGAATTTTCTATAGGTTTATTATGGGAGAAATCCTCTCAATTTAATTTGCTCCATTCACGATCGTCAGAATTTGAAATCCTAACTTTACTTAAAGGATCTAATGTTTTATCTCATTAAAATAATCGGTTGTTAGTTCCATTTTAACTAATTTTATTAATATAATGACGTGGATAAAAATAAATTATGTTATATTAATTTAAAATACAACATATTTTTGAAGTAGTGTCGAAATATTATTTGATTGGTAGTAATTTAGGCTAAGCTATTACTTTTAACCCAAAGGTGATGTGTGAAATCGTGTTTTTGACAAGATTTAAAGAAAGATACTTAGATTATGGTAATATCAATTTTTGCAGATAATTGGTTCTTGCAATTTTAATGGATAAGATTTTATTTTATTTTTTATATATAACTTGCAAAGTTTGGATAAGGTTGTTTAAGTTAGACTATTGAATAATTTGAGGTGTTTTGAATATTATTATTCTTGTTGGATAAAGTTTTTTTAGGAAAAATGACTTTAATTTGTTACATCAGTATATTTTAATGGAAGTTTATAAAAATAATCGTAATGAAAATTAATTAAAAGATTAATGATTGTATTGTGAGTTTTATAAGTTCAATGATCAAAATACAAACACCTCAAAAGTTTGATGACCATTGATGTAATTTAAACTAATATTTACTAAATAAGTTTTGATATTTTCATTTATTCATTCTTAACGTCAAAGGGTTGGATGTAATTATAATTCTATCTAATTAATTAAATTAAATTTAATTATCATTTTAAGAATGTATTTGTATAAACTGATTAATTACATGTTCATGGTTGGTAACTTATCCAAATGGATAGACCACTAAATGGGGCGTATTTAGGACTAGCTTTACCTAGGCCATAGACCCCATATCAAAAAAATAAAATTATATGTGAGTTTTTGTTAAAAAGTTATATTGATTTTTTTCTCGATTCAATCCCCACACCCACGCACGCACGCATATATATATATATATAAAATTTTTATTAAATTTTAAATTAAAAATTATATACACGTTATGTTTGATGCATCTTTTATTATATTTATATTGGCTTAGCCGATAATTTTTTTTCTAGAGTCGTATCTGACTTCGAACGACTTGTGTTATAGTTGTAACACTCAACCACTAAAATAAATTGTATTTAATTTATGTTTGACTAAAATAATATTTAGATTAAATTATATACAGTACAAAATTATATTTGAGTTATGATTGTAACACTTAACCATGAATTTGTCACATGTATATCTTTTATGTCACATTTATGATATTAAACATGGATAGATACTTTGTTTTTTTTTTTAATGTAAATGCCAAAGACCTTGACTTAAAACAACCAACACCTAGGGGATTGGGAAAGGACACCTAATGGTGACAGCATCGCACTTGAAATCAAGCAGACATTGGGACCATGTTATTTAAAAAAGAAAGAGAGGCCTGTGATCCCTAGCTGCTGCTCAATCAATGTATTAGCAAGTTGCAACGACCTTGACTAACACAATTAATCATTTATACGACCATTTCCAAAACAATTTAATGCGAAGTCTCAATTCTATGCTATATGTTGTGCCTTTACCAAAGAATACCATTCTAACTCAGCTGTTTCTCTGTTCATGATTTGCATTATACTCACACCCAACCTTAAGGAAAAAACTCCCTTCCTTGCTCCTCTTATGTCTCTGTTGCTATTTGCAATCTTTAGGGATACTTTGTCTGCCAACATCACCACTGATGAATCCGCCCTTTTAGCATTAAATCCCATATAACTCATGATCCACACAATCTCTTGGCAACCAATTGGTCCACTTCTATCTCTATTTGTACTTGGATTGGTGTCACATGTGGGTCCAAACACCATAGAATCACTGCTCTGGATTTGTCAAGTATGGATCTCACAGGCACCATACCATCTCACTTGGGAAATTTATCTTTCCTTTCCTCGCTCGACGTTCGTCACAATAGTTTTCATGGTGCTTTACCAATTGAGTTAACCAATTTGCGTCGGCTGAAGTATTTGAACTTTGGTAACAACAACTTCGATGGAGAAATCCCATCATGGTTTGGTTACTTTCATGAACTTCAAGACTTGTGGTTGTACGATAACAGCTTCACTGGAGTTATCCCATCCACCGTAGGCAATTTGTCAAAACTAGAAACGTTGAGCTTGTATGAAAACAGTCTCAAAGGTCAGATTCCTATGACTTGAAATATACTCTCATTACTAAAAAAAAGAAGTTGATTTTACAGCTATCAATCTCATTGCAGGTCATCTACCATCAGGAATGTTTGACAACCTTTCGAAATTGCAAGTACTCGACTTAAAAGAAATCAAATTTCAGGTAGAATTCCAAATAATGTATTCAATTGTAAAGAATTGACGATGTTATCATTGTATAGCAACTCTTTTGAGGGAAGTATTCCTATAGAAATAGGAAATTTGAACTAAGCTCGAATTCTTGTATCTCAGTTACAACAATCTCAAAGGTAAACAATTACTTATTTTTACTTTCAGATGCTTTTTATTATTTTTCAACATTTTTCAACAAATTGGTTCTAAATGATATGTAGGGCAGGTCGTATTCCTTCCTCGATCTTCAACATTTCCTCTTTGCAACATATTGCATTAGGACAACAAAACAAATTCTCTATTTCTCTCTCCTCCAATACGTTTGATTACCTTCCTCGATTAATTTATCTTGATTTGGGTGGATGTCAACTTTCTGGAAAACTTCCAATGAGCTTATTCAAATGCAAAGAGTTAGAATATATATATATTTTGGTCATAATCATTTGGAGGGGACTGTGCCATTAGAAATTTCAAATTTAACTTCACTAGACTTTCATCATTGAAGGAAACAACTTCTCAGGTAAGCTAAATGACTCGTTTAATTTTTTTTAATTTAATTTTTATGAACAATTGTTTAGATATTGAAGTATGATAATCGTTGTCAATATTATGTCTCAAACCTTCGATGGATGAACTTTTATTTGCCACTAAATTTATAAAATTGAGTTACTATTTGGAGCTTCATAAATGGTAAAAAAAATTGAATAGTATTTTCATGTTTAGAAAAAGAAAGAAAAGAAACAGATTCTCTAGTGCTGAACAAAGAAATTAAGGGTTTGCTAGAAAAAATATTAATAAATTTCTACCGTATTTTTGACATATTTGATTTTACATTTCAGGTGAAATTCCATATGTTATTGGAAACATTATTTCTCTTAAGAAGATTGACCTTTCTGGTAACAATTTAAAAGGTATAATATTATACTTATTTTGTATTTTCTTGTACAATTTTCCTTTTTGCTTGACAATAAAAGTTCACATTTAAGAATAAAAGAAAAGAAATGGAAAATAGATCCCTATAGTGCTCAACAAAGAGTTAGAAAATTATAAATAACTTTTGACGAATTTAATTACATGTTTCAGGTGAAATTTCATCGGTTATTGGAACTCTGACTTCTCTCGTATACATAGATCTTTCTAATAACAATTTCTCAGGTCAAATAAAAAAAGTGAATAACTTCTCATGTTCAGAAAATATTAATAAATTTGATACATTTAATTATATTTTCAGGTCAAATATCGATTATTGGAAATCTTACTTCTCTTGAGGTGATTGACCTTTATGATAACAACTTTAAAGGTATAATCTCTTTTGATAATCTCTTTTGTAACAACTATATAAGTATAATCCCATATTTCATTCTCTAAAATTTTAATCATAAAATCATGACAACATATTGTGAGAAAACGACTGAATTTGAGAATGCTTAAATGTTTGCTTCTTGGTCATAACAACCTCAATGGTAAATAGTTGCTATTTCTATTTTATTTGTTTTTTTATTATTTAATTTATATGAACAATTGTTTTAAGGGTAAACTACATTGATAGTCATTGAACTTTTAGAGTGCCTTCACTTTAGTCACCGAACTTTTAAAACTTTATTGCAGTCACTAAACTTTTAATTCTCTTTCATTATGGTCTCTGTCATTAAGAAATATTGATGTCTCACTTCTTCTCCAAACAAAACCCTAAGTTTCAAAAAATTTAGCCACCACGAAGGCCAAATTTTTTACGATCAAATTGATGGTTAGTGAATTCCAATGGTGGAATGATTCGTTTGACCAAAGGATTAACATAGTTAGGTTTTAAGTATATGATTGTTGACAGTGACAAATCAGAAAGTTTTAATTTTAGTTTCTCATGGGTCATCGCCTCCTTCCATCGTCGTTTTTGTCGGTGATCAGTGGTTTTTTATCAACAAGATCACTACACTACTCTTCTTCTTCTTCTTCTTTGTTTCTTTCTTTCAGTTTAAAATCGTCGAAAAGCCTTCTAATCTCCTTAAATTTGGTGACGAGGAGCGGTGGCTAAGGGTTCCCAAATTTAGGGGGAAATGAGGTTGAATCACGGGGAGGGAGGGGTTTTCTGGTTTAAGGTAAATAAAAACTCGAATATAAAACGAATAATATACATAACTGATTATTTTTAACATAAATAGGGTCTAGGTCGGCTGGTAGGGTCTAGGTTGGCTATACCCTAGGTAATGGGTTCAAGCAGGCCAGCCCCTACTCTCTCCCTTTTTTTATTTTAACAGACAGACAAAGATGGGGAAATTATGGTGTTGGTCCCTAAATTTTAAAAATTTTCAACTTTAGTACATATATTTTTAAAAATTTGCAGTTTAGTCTGAAAAAAAAACAATTAATTAATTTTAAAGAAATTTTTGGGGTGTGACAGGGAGAATAGATCGTGCTGATGCAACTACAGCACTGAATCCACATCATTCCACAAGCGTTATTTTTTTCAACCACAGCGAGTGGTGAAATGTTCACTCTGTGTTTTTGTGGCTGTATACATATAATAAGGGCAGAAATCTTCTTCCAGTACCAAGTGCTATTTCTCTCTGTGTTAGTAGTATAGGTACTTTTTTCCCCTTCAACTTCAAAGTATCTTCTTAATGTTCTGCCGAAAACATGCAATTCTAAAACAGTTGTAAGTTCAATGATTTTTTGCACGATAGTTGCTAAATTTTCAGTGTTTATATGGGACCGACGAAGGATATGGAACAAGAAGTAAAAACAAAATACAAAAATTTGCAGTACATCATCGATCAAGTTGCATAGTCCATTCCATAACTAAAGATCCAAAATGCTAACAACCATTGAAAGCACACACCGAACTGTACGAGTCAAGTCCGAACTAATTAACATTGGCATTGAAGAACATAGTAAAATAATTGATTGTCTAACCAACAGAATAGAACTTAGATATTCATTGGTGCCATTCTACCAACTAAATTAACTTTGACAAGGTCCAATATAGCAGCTAATTAACGTAAACTAATCCAACCAACAATACTATTTCATGCAGCAAACCTAGATATCTAGCTCAAGTAGCAAGAAGGTTATCTAGCCAAGTCGAATCTCGAGCAATCATTATGAGCATGAGGTCCTAGATGTGATTTTACTTCCAAGTGACTGAAGCATCACTATATTTTCTTGGGTTTCAAGACATGCAAATCGCCACAAAAGCTTCATTCATGCATGCATGCTTTAACTCACTCATGCCAACAGGGAACTGCATGCGTGAGAGAGAGGAAGGTCGACCTAATGTGTGGATTATTTAATTACCATCCTAGTAAAAGTAACTTTTGTACAATGTAAGTAAACACATGATCCGCAGAAAGACATATAAGGTTAAGAACATGGATGGCCTCCATTCTACATAAGAAAAACATTAAATATAGAACCAAAACCGAGATGACAAGCCTACCTTAGATAACTCGTTATCCATGTAACGAAAGCTTTGATTAAGGTCAGTTAGCCCAAGTAAATCGTCCACTTGCCATGGTTGAATGATTCCAGCCGTAGAACCCCCACCATATGACATTTTTTCCGGCACACTGTTCTCAACTCCAACAGTTGATGGAAGAACCTTGTTGTATTCGCTTGTAAATGCCATAGGAGCCCAGCTTTTAGACGTAGAATTGGATTTGGTTCCCGAGGTTTTTTCATTACAAGGTGATTTAACATTGGAAGAAGATCCAACATGGTCAGTTGATGTTTCAAGACCAACCTTTACTCCAGTAAGCACAAATCTTTGGTGACTAGAGACATAAGGATTTGCTGTATGTATAGTAATATCACTTTTTCTGCAGAGTAGAGCTCGATCTTGCAAACAAAAGAAAAACCCAGATGCTTCCTGTCAAAACAGTGATTGATTTTGTCAACATTAATTGATTGTTAGATATGTCAAAAACTAATATAATTATATAACAACATAAACACCATCATAATACGAGAAATTCATGAACAGGACACTATAATTATAGATATAATACCCTTAAAAACAGTCATAAAATGAGAAAAGTTCATGAACAGTACATAAATGCACGAAACAGATACAATTGTTATTTTTAAGGAAGAAAATAGAAATCAATCCTAAATTATAGTCCCAAAAGCAACAATCGAAAAATCGAATTTTAGAACTCAAAACGGCCTCGGAGTATTTTCTCCCTAGAGATTGCGGTTTCGAGCAACATCTGTATTGTGTGTGTCCATTGTTCATGGTTAATAAGGATCATGAACATTAACTACCTTGTAATCACCTCTTAGTATTAAAATACAAATTGAATTTTAGCTCGTTCTTAGAATTTCATGAAAGTAAAGATCTTCAAATTCAAACGACGATAGGCTTCCCCCAATTTATTTTCTCGCTTCTCTCAGTATAAACCATAATTTCCCTTGGTAATTAACCTAAATCAAATAAAGAAAATCGAATTCAATCCAAACTCCACCTTACCTCTCAGATAAAACTCTGGCCTTTAAAACAACTATAAGCATAAAGGGAAAAACATCCAGGGGAAATTAAAGTACCTGGCAAAAGTCACATTTAGGCATGTGAGAAGAAGAGAGGGGAACACGATGATGTTTGCTGGCCAACTTGTTCGCGGCGTGGACTTTCTCGTGGCACTCCAAACACAGCGCCGCCTCGTCGGAGCAGCACAGCACCTTCGCCTCCGCCACCTGGCACACGTTGCACTGTATCCTCATATTTCTATTTTTCTCTTCGTCTAATAAATTCCAAAATTTTCCAGATATATATTTCTTATTTGAAGAAATGGAGGGGTCTATTTCTGGTTTAAGGAAGCAGGAAAGTGAAGCCAGCTGAATTTGATTCTCTTAATTATTATTATTATTATTATTATTATAAAATTCTAGATTTATTTGAAGCAATGATTTGAGAATTGCCCACCTGGTAGATTCCAGATTCTATCTTTGACTCGGAAGACCAGACCGCTCTCTGCCTCGTCGGTTCCGACCGGTAAACAATATTTACTGCTTCATTTTAACTATTTTTTTGTTTGGTAAACTATATGAAAGTCCCCTTTGTTTTTAGTTTGACGGATTTTGGTCACCAATTTTATTAAGGCTA